GATCGTGGCTAAGTTATCTGGTTTACAACAGATAAATGCATCCGGAGAAGGTGCATCTGAGGGGATAACCATAACACCGACCCCACAAGTGATTGTCTCATTCGGGACCTTACCCGGACTGCAAGACGACTCATCTACCGCCAAAGGAAAAGCTGTATCAGTGGCAACTTTACAGACTTCTGCGGTAAAACCTGACAGTCATCCGGACGACTGCCCTATCCCGGATTTTGACGATGAGGATAAGACAAAGAAGATGGAAGAAAAGATCAGGATGTTAGAAGACCAAATGAAGATGGTCCAAGGAGACCATGATTATTATGGTGTGGATGCAATGGAACTAAATTTGGTTCCCGATTTGGTGCTTCCACCAAAATTTAAGGTTCCTGAGTTTGAGAAGTTCGACGGGAACAACTGCCCTTCAGCCCATATCACTATGTTCTGAGATGACAGGGTACGGAAGAAATGACCAACTCTTGATCCATTGCTTTCAGGAGAGCCTATCCGGTTCAGCTATCCGGTGGTACAACTAGCTTAACCGAACTCATATCAAGACATGGAGAGACTTAGCCAAGTCTTTCTTAGAGCAGTACAAGCATATCAATGATATGAGACCAGACCGAGTTATGCTGTAGAGCCTAGAGAAGAAGCATAACAAGAGTTTCCGACAGTACGCACAGAGGTGGAGGGATTTATCTGTGCAAGTTCATCCACCCTTGGATGAAAAGGAAACTAGAAAGTTGTTTGTACAGACCCTGAAGGCACCTTACTTCGGGCATTTGATAGCAATCATGTCGGGAAGTTTCTCAGATTTAGTCATGGCTGGTGAGATGGTTGAACTGGCCATAAAACAAGGAAAGATTGAGGGAGGTGATTCTAGTAGAAAGCCTCCCGTGAAGAACAAGGACCGCGAGATCAACAATGTCAACACCTACAACGCTAGCAAAGGTGTTACGATCTCAAGTTCAAAAACAACTGCAGTTGTACCATCTGGTACTTCTAACCAATCTCAGAGAGAACCAAGTAGGGAAAGGGAAAGGGAGTAGATCGATCCCATTCCCATGACATATAAAGAGTTATATCAACAACTCTTCGACACTCACGCAACATCACCCTACCCAATGGATCCGATAAAGCCTCATATCTGAAATGGTTTGACGAGAACGCCCACTGTGAATACCATGGAGGTGTGCAGGGGCATTCAATTGAAAACTATCTCGCCTTTAAGAGACTGGTACAACGAATGCGGAATAAAAATTGGATTCATTTCAATTCCGGAGCACCGAGCGTTGCCCAAAATCCCTTACCTAATCATCAGGAGACAAGAATCAACGCTATCATCACCGAGAATGGCAAGAAAATCAAAACCGGTGTTTCGGAAGTCAAAGCTCCTTTGGTTTGGGTATGGAGCCAAATGGTAAAGACGGGGCTTCTTACACCCCAATCGTGTGCAACAAGGATTAAAGATGGTAACCATTGTTGTTACCACAACGAAGGAGGGCATAAGATGCAAGATTGCCCAGAATTCAAGTCGTTAGTCCAGCTCATGATGGACCGAAAAAAGCTAGAATTTTACAAGGAAATTCAAGATTCTTCAGAAGAAGATGTTTGCACTACCGAAGAATCATCCGACAAGAGGTATGGCAGGGGTGGTCCTCTGATAATTACCCCTAAAGCGAAGACGATAACAACAACACAAGCCAGGGTGGTGATCACAGCACCTCGGCCTTTTTAATACAAGGACAATCGACAAGTGCCATGGAAGTACGAATGTCAAGTGAGAACTTCTAAATGATGTGATGGCAAAATGGGGCAGAGACCACTTGAACCTTTCAAAGAGGATGTACTAGTTGTCAACGAACCTATAAAGGAGGAAGAAGCCAAAGAGTTCCTGCAAGATCTTGAAGCACAGCGAGTACAACATTATAGAACAGATCCACAGCTTACCAACGCGTACTTCAATGTTAGCGCTATTTTTGAACTCGGAGGCACACCGAGAAGCACTGTTGAAAGTCCTAAATCAAACGTTCGTGCCGCAAGACATACCAGTCAGCAAGATGGATCGACTATTAAACAATATTCAAGCTGATAATCTCATCTCATTCTCAGATGATGAGATTTCATCCAGAGGAAGAGGCCGAACTAAGGCATTACACATCACTACCTATTGTAAGGGGCATGCCTTACCGAGTGTGTTGATCGATAACGGCTCAGCCCTGAACGTGATGCCTTTGGTGACATTGAAGAGGCTGCCAATAGATACATCTCATATGAGAGCCTGTCAAAACGTGGTCCGAGCATTTGATGGGACCAAGAGAGAGGTTATCGGCAAGATCGAGGTACCGTTGACCATCAGACCTGCCACCTATGGCGTCGAGTTCCTTGTGATGGATATCATGTCATCCTATAGCTGTCTTTTGAGAAGGCCATGGATTCATCAAGCAGGTGCAGTACCCTCCACGCTGCACCAAAAAGTCAAATTTGTTATTGACAGGGCCTTGGTAATTATCAATGCTGAGGAGGATATCGTGGCAAGCGTGACTACGAAGGCCCCATACATCGAGGTGGATGAGAAAGCGGTAGAGTGCTCGGTCCACTCCTTAGAATTTGTGAATGCCACATTCGTGGCGGAAGGAAAAAAGATTCCAAGACCCCGACTCTCCGAATACGCAAAGATGAAGATCAAGCAAACCTTAGGCCGAGGTGTTAAAATCAGAAGGGGGTTTGGGAAGTTACTACAAGGAAGGATCAATCCAGTCCTCCCTGTTTTGAAATTAGACCAGTTTGGGCTCAGTTTTCAGCCCAGTTATCATGAAAAGAGGAAGGAAGTCCAGAAAAACCAGGAAAGGAGATTAGCAAGGTTGATTGGAAATGAACCCCAATGGAAGCCTCATAGTTGTAAAAAGCGCGCCTGAGGCGCAAAAGCGCAAAGGCTCACTGAACGGGGCTTTTTCAACACTGAAGCGAGGCACGTATCTTAGGCGCAACGAGGCACTGAGGCACGAGGCTCAGTCGAGGCACAATTGAGGCGCGATGCTCTGAAAACCTTGTAATTATTATTGCAGGGCTTCTCTCCTATGGGCTGACCCCCTAAAACCCTCAATCGACTGAAGATGATGAAATGGCAGCATTGTATTGTCTTCTTTGAAAGGGATCAGGAGATCGGAACTCGAGAAAGGATCAGTCAAAACGACACCGTGTTTTGGGTCTCCAGTTGCACTGAGCATGAAATTCAGTGGGAAAGTGAGAAACATAAGAGCAAAAGCTTACCTGGTTTAACGAAAGAATCTCCGGTCAGAGACTAAGAGAGAGACAATGTTGCGATCGATTTGGCCGTGGAAGAGATGGAAACAGATAGACAAAGAAAAAGGCTGAAGAAGCGAAGTAAAAGTGAAAGTGAAAGAAGACAATCATATTAATAATGATATTTATAAACACGTGTATATTTATCAACAATTTACACAAAGTTTGAGAAAAGATAAAATCCATAACTATTATTTTACTCAGCATAATTTGTTTTATTGTGATTTCTTAATTTTTCACGTTACCAAAATATTATTAACATGTAAATGCAATCTTTTTGTTTTATTAATATATTAATAATATGATAATTTTTTTATTAATTTAAAATTTTTAACTTATAATTATTTAACATATTGATCGCGAATTAATATGTAAATTGAAATAATTTCAAACAAATCTCGGAAAGGCTGATACAATATAATATGATATTTTATTGAGGCAATACAATGTTGTCATCATCTTGAGTTGAAGCTCGAAAGGAAAGGAAAAAGTTATACTACACCTTGTAGATGAAGATGATGAAGTTGTTATGCTAGAGAGCGACACTGAAGAAGAAGACATTGGGGATTGTGAGACGGATGAGGAGGAAGATGATGACATACCACTTGATGAGGATGAGTTTGATGTTTGATGATGATTATCAGTGACTTTATTTGATGTTTTGTTTATGCATGTTTAATGTTTTTGTTAAACTTAGTACTTGATTATGCTTGTTGATAGCTTTTATGACGTTAAGTTGGTATTTTGAGTTTGAGAATGAACTCTATTGAAGCTTAATATTGGGTATCTATGATATTTGAGTTTGATTGCATTAATATATACATGTATTACAATTTTTTGGATATCATGCGCCTCGCCTTCGTGAATCATGCGCCTCGCGCCTCAAAGCTCCAGGACACTTTGCGCCTCGATACGCCTTGAGCCTTTGATAACTTTGGGAAGCCTATGACGTTCCCGCCTCTTTACAAAACATTCAAGTCAGGTGGTTATGTGTTCGAAACCACCATATCCGAGTTAGAAGCAACTCTGGAAGATCTGGATATCAATGTCGTGACCACAGAAGATGTTGACAACGGAGATAGATCCGGGATATGCCCTCTGCCACCTGGGTTCTTGCCTAGCAGTTCGTCGGTGGAAGAACTACCTGTGGTTTACAAGAGTATTTCAGAGTAATATTCGAACTACCCCTACTAACCTATACCCAGGACAATAGGTGATCTTTTGTAAGGGTGAATAAATATTAGGTTTAATTTCAATAAATGATGCATTTTTTATAGCCATGGCAAACAAATTTTCTTTTATTTCTTTTTGAATTCATTGTTTATTTTCTTCATTTCCGTTCTCTTTCAAATTTAATTCTTTGACTGTTTCGTGTGGGATATTTCCTCTCACACACCCATATCTTCTTTGTCTCTTCAGGACCCCAGATAACGATAATGTAGGCACTAATGATCTTGATCCGAAAGTGGATTTTGAATCAGCCATTTGCCTCGGGGAATTTGATGAATGCGACACTGAAGAGGAGTGTAACTTGCCTACCGAATTGTTGAGGATGGTAGAAAGAGAAGAGAAGCAAATTCTGCCACATGAGGAAGCGATAGAAATCTTGAATTTTGGCACTGAAGATGACAAAAAAGAGGTTAAAATCGGCATAACTCTCTCGGCTGAAGCAAGACAAAACCTGATAGTCTTACTTCAGGAGTACAGAGATATGTTCGCCTGGTCATATCAAGACATGCCGGGACTAGGCACAGATATGGTAGTTCATAAATTGCCAATTAAGCCAGAGTGCAAACCCGTGCAACAGAAACTGAGAAGGATGCGACCTAAGATGCTCCTTAAAATTAAATAAGTCAAAAAGCAATTCGATGCCAGTTTCCTTCAAGTGGCCAAGTACCCAGAATGGAAGGCCAACATAGTGCCAGTTCCGAAAAAGGACTGGAAGGTTCGTATGTGCGTCGATTACCGTGATCTTAACGAGGCGAGCCCTAAAGACAACTTTCCTCTGCCTCACATTGACACGTTGGTAGACAATACAGCCGGGAACGCTTTCTTTTTCATTCATGGATGGATTTTCAGGATATAACCAGATCAAGATGCATCCTGAAGACATGGAGAAAACCACGTTCGTCACAATGTGGGGAACCTTCTGCTACAAGGTGATGCCCTTCGGACTAAAGAATGCTGGAACAACAATCAAAAAGCTATGGTGACCCTGTTCCACGACATGATGCACAAAGAGATAGAAGTTTATGTCGACGACATGATTGTCAAGGCACAAACCGAGAATGAACATGTCGAGAATCTGAGGAAGCTCTTCCAGAGGTTGAGGAAGTTCCAGCTACGACTGAACCCTAGCAAGTGTACCTTCGGGGTGACATCCCGGGAAACTGTTAGGCTTCGTGGTCAACAGAAAAGGCATTGAGGTTGATCTTGACAAAGTTAAGGCTATCCAGAACCTACCTCCACCTCGAACACAAAAAGAGGTTCGAGGTTTTCTAGGTAGATTGAATTACATAGCTCGGCTCATATCTCAGTTAACCGATAAGTGTGACCCAATCTTCCGTCTTCTCCGAAAGAACAATCCAGGAGCATGGGATGAAAAATGTCAGATTGCATTCGAGAAAGTAAAGGAGTATTTGTCTCACTCTCTTATCCTGATGTCACCTATTCCGGGCAAACATCTAGTCTTGTATCTCTCCATATTCGAGAACTCCATGGGGTGTGTCTTAGGACAACATGATGAATCCGGGAAGAAGGAAAGAGACATCTACTATTTAAGCAAGAAGTTCACCGATTGCGAGGTCAGATATCCTCCTATCGAGAAGGTCTGTTGTGCTTTAGTCTGAGCTACAAAAAGACTCCGACAATACATGTTGTACCACACTACTTGGCTCATTTCCAAGTTAGATCCCCTGAAATACATGATGGGTGTACCTGCTTTATCTAGAAGGTTAGCCCGATGACAGATGCTCTTGTCGGAATTTGACATTGAGTACGTGAGCCAGAAAGCAATCAAAGGAAGTGCCATATCGGAGTTCTTGACCAGCAGAACCGATGAGAATTACGAGCCTTTGGACTTTGACTTCCCATACGAAGACTTGATGACTATCTCCTTAGAAGAAGCAAGGACTTCAACGGACAGTTCCTGGAGAATGCATTTCGATGGTGCGTCAAATGCATTAGGACATGGCATCGGGGATATCTTAATTTCTCCAGAAGGGGGTCACTACCCATTTACTAGCAGACTCAACTTCGATTGCACCAATAACATGGCAGAGTATGAAGCATGCGTCTTGGGAATCTGAGCTGCACTGGGACAAAGCATAAAGACCTTGCGGATATATGGAGATTCAGCATTAGTAATCTATCAGCTCCGCGGAGAGTGGGAAACCAAGGATGTAAAGCTGTTAGAGTACCGAAAACTAGTACTGAACCTGCTCGAAGAGTTCGACTAAGTCACCTTCCACTATGTGCCAAGAGAAGAAAATCAAATGGCTGACGCTTTAGCTACCTTGGCAGCCGCATTCAAGGCTGGCGGGGAGGCTGAAATGATGCCAATCGACATGCAGTTGTATGAGTACCCGGCTCATTGTTACCAAATCGAAGTGAAAGACACCAAGCCTTGGTACTACGACATTTTACAGTATATCAAGCATCTGAGTTATCCAGAAGAATCCACCGAAACCGATAAGAGAACCCTTAGAAGGATGGCAGTTGGATACGTCCTTGACGGAGAGGTTTTATACAAGAAAAACCATAATCAAGTCATGTTAAGGTGCGTCGATGCTGAAGAGGCAAAGATGATAGTAGAAGAAATACATGATGGAGTTTGTGGAGCACATGCAAATGGACACATGATGTCAAGACAAATAATGAGATGCGGGTACTTTTGGTCCACACTCGAAAGTGATTGCATCAACTATGCTAGAAGATGTCATAAATGTCAGATTTACGGAAATAAAATCAATGTTCCACCTCATCCACTTCATGTAATGACATCACCATGACCTTTCTCTGTATGGGGCATGGACGTTATCGGGCAAATTCATCCGAAGGTTTTGAATGGACATCGTGTCATTCTCGTAGCGATTGACTATTTCACGAAATGGGTAGAGGCTGCATCATATGCCAGTGTCACTCAGTCTACTATTTGCAAGTTTCTGAAGAAAGAGATTATATGTCGGTATGGTTTACCTGAAAGGATCATTACCGATAATGCTACAAACTTGAACAACAAAATGATAAATGTTGCTTGTGAACAGTTCAACATAAAACACCACAATTCCACTGCTTGCAGACTAAAGATGAACGGAGCAGTAGAAGCAGCAAACAAAAACATTAAGAAGATAGTGGAAAAAATGACTGAAACTTACAAAGACTGGCATGAGAAGTTGCCTTTCGCTTTGTTCGCCTATCGAACCTCGGTACGAACCTCGACTGGGGCAACTCCATTTTCACTAGCTTATGGAATGGAGGCAGTGTTACCCATTGAAGTAGAGATTCCTTCACTTCGGGTCTTGACAGAAGTCAAACTGGATGATGTAGAATGGGTACAATCCAGATACGATCAACTTAATCTGATAGATGAAAAGAGACTGAAAGTCATTCATCATGTTCAAATCTATCAGAAACGAATTATCCGAGCACATGACAAAAAGGTGCGCCCGAGAATATTCTACGAAATTATGTCGTGAAAAAGGCCTTCTCTGGAGGATCCCTTGTCCTGGCTGAAATGGACGGATCTGAACTGCCACATCCCATCAACTCGGACGCAGTCAAAAAGTACTTCGCTTAGGATGAAAACCCGAGAGGGCGTCCTAAGTCGGAAAAAAAACAACACAAAAAAGAAAAAACAAGAAAAAGAAAAACGTTTAGGGTGAAAACTCGAAAGGGCGCCCTAAATTGAAAAAGAAAAAAGAACGAAAAAGAAAAATAAGGTGGGTTCAAGATGAAAACCCGCAAAGGGTATCTTGCAACCAAGGATGGGTCTAAGTTGAAAACCCGAAAGGGCGATTTGGACATCAGCTCAAGAAATACAGACAGTTGAAGCGTCCCGACATCTGAATCTCCAACAAACTCAACAAGTCGGAGAAGGGTTGCACTCTCCAGAACGTTGTCGCATTCTCAAAGATCCCTTGGCAAAGGTTGTGTTCAAAGTCACTTGACGGCTTTTCAGCTCAGAAGTACCCACATTATCGAGATCTAAGACATTCATATACACACTTCATCATGTATTCATTTTCCAAAATGTTTGTCATGTATTATTTGATCTTTTCTCTCTTATGAATAAAGGCAATCTTTCCTTTAAATCAATTCTGCTTGAGCATCTTGAATTGGATTTAAACCTAATGATTTATTTATTCTTGCAAAAGATAATCGCATATTACTGTACAAAGATTCATTGAAAAGTACAAGTACCCAAAAGCCTATCGAGGCTCATGCACATACTTGAGATGGTCAAGAATCAACTCCCAAATATGCACATCGGATTTAAACATTTGAAGAATTCAAGATCAGGGATCAGAACTTCAAGATTTCAAAATCCAGAGTCAACAACAACAGGCAACTGGAGATCGAGATTTCTCTCCAGAGCCCCAAGATAACATATGTTGCATATGCATTTTAGGCACACCTAAGAGCATTGCATTCATAGATATGCATAACTTTTTCAGGTTGTAGCTAAAGTCAATTTCAACTTCACAGCGGAGGATTTTGAACTCGAAGAGACACAATTTGCTCGAGAGTATATTCCAACTTCACAACAAAGGATATCTAGCTCGAAGCCAAACTTTAAAATAAAGAGGTCATCCATAGTTTCAACTTCACGGCGAAGGGAATCGTGTTCACCCGTAACATACAATACTTGGATTTCAACTTCACAACGAAGGATATTCAAGTCAAGGCTCAACTTCACGACGAAGGGGCCATCCACGATTTCAACTCCACGACGGAGGATATCGTACCCACACAACCCGCGGTTTCAACTTCACGACGAAGGGAATCGTGAACACAAGCTCAACTTCACAGCAAAGGGGCGGCTGACTGTCAACTTCCCAATTTCAGAGCCAATTTCAACTTCACAACGAAGGATATTGGACTCAAGAAAACACAAGCTCAACTTAACAGCGAATGGGCGGCTGACTGTCAACAAACAACTTCCCAATTTCAGAGCAAATTTCAACTTCACAGCGAAGGATATTGGACCCAAGACAACACAAGCTCAACTTCACGACGAAGGGGCGGCTGATTGTCAAATTCATTCAGAGTCAATTTCAACTTCACGATGAAGGATATTAGACTCAAGACAGCACAAGCTCAACTTCACAGCGAAGTGGCGGCTGACTGTCAACAAACAATTTCCCAGTTTCAGAACCAATTTCAACTTCACGTCGGAGGATATTGGACTAGGAGCAATACAACTTACTTGGATTTCAACTTCACGACGAAGGATATCCAATTCTCATGCTCAATTTCACGACGAATAGGCCACCCGCGGTTTCAACTTCACGACGAAGGGAATCATACACACAGGCAGTATCCATCTCTAGACTGGATTTCAATTTCACAACGAAAGGGCCATATACAATTCCAACTTCACAAACAGATTGACCCAACTTCACGACGAAGGAGTCATCTGTAACACCACAACACCAAAGTCTTCAGGTCAAGTTTCACCTTCGCGACGAAGTATTTTGAGCCAGAAGACGATTCAGATGCCACTTGCCAAAAGCTTTGAGCTCGTTTTCACGACGAAGGATTTCGTGCTCGAAATATTCCAGTTTTGACTCAACCTCACGACGAGGGAGTCATTTCGTGATTGAAAAACCAGTTTCAACATCGGGTTTCAACTCTACGACAGAGGATAGTCGATGTGGATGAAATCTGTGTCTTTTAATCTTTGCTCTATTTTCGTTACACAATAATGAGCAAAGAGGTGCAGCTGATGACACTTGCTTTCGTCCATACAAAATATAATATATATATATATATATATATATAGTATTATTATATGATATTATAAGTTATAGTACATATATTTTTATTTACATTCTACTTATCTTGTATAGGCACAAGTACAAACGTTTCAAATCCCATGACCCGTTACACAAGCATCCCGTTTGGCCCAGTAGCACACGTGACCTGCATCAGTCTTAAGCCGAACCCTAGAGCGCCGTTCCTCGTTCGAAGTCCCCATGCTGCACGCCACCAACTCCGACTCTTTCGGCGCAAGGAGAGCACGAAGCAACAACCCACAACCGATTATCTCGATTCAACAGTAGACAAGTCACAATTGTTAGTTTTTTACTAGGAATCAAATGCCCAAAAATAGGGTTGCTGAACCTTATAAATAGCATGTAATCCCACTGTAAATGAGGGGGAGGAATACGAAATACAAGCAGAAAATTACTAGCAATCTAGAGCGAAATCGAAGCTTTTCTTTTGCAAACTCTTGAAAAAACAGTAGGTAAAGTTCTTACCTTTTGGTGGTTATATTGCATGCTCGTTTGTTTGCTTCACTTTCCTTTTTCTTTGACTCAAGAAACGCTAAAAAACGCTGATGAACATATGGGGGTAGAATGTTTTTTCAAAACCTTCGAGTTTAGATCTACCCCGAGGCTTTGTATTTGGAGAAAACTATTTAGATTTTTGAAACGAGTACGCCAAGATCTTCCGAAAAAGCTAAAAAAATTGACTTTTGCCGCCGATGACTGGCGGCCGTCGCCGATCAACGACGGCGGTGAGGCGGCGCGCGGTAGTACAACCGCCGGATTCTGGAATGGCCGGCCCCTGTTCTTCATTTTCTTAAGAACATTTGAGAGTGTTTCAAAAGGGGAGGGAGGCTCTCGTTAGTGAAGAAGAGAAAGTGAGAAGTAAAAGCCAAAGCAGTGGCTTATATACCGGCCTGATAACCCGACCCAGTGACTTTAGACTAGCGTGTTTCTATTTAAAAATGGGTAAACCCGCTTTTGATCCCTCCTTCCTTAAAGGTCTGCTATTTTAATCCCAAATCTGATTTTTAAACCCCAATTCCCTTTTAATTTGGCCACTCAATTTTCTTTCCTTTCAATTTAACCCCTCTTTTGTTCCAAGATTTGAATTTAATTTTGAATTGACCCTTGAATTTATTCTTTCTTTCGATTTAATCCTTTTTTAAATACTTATTATTACTATTATTTTATATACCTTGTTTATAAGTCATTATATATGTATATTTATAACTAATATCATTATTTTTTTTATTTTCCTTTACTATTTACGTATGTAATATTTTTTTTGTTTCCTTTTTATTATTATTAACGTGTATATATATATATATATATATCTTTTTTACTTTGTTTTCCTCGTGTAATTATATATATTTTCTTTGTTTCTTTTAATTATTAAATATTATATTATAGGGGCCCATTTTTTTGTTTGGTTTCAACTAAAGTCCCCCCAAATTTTCGGTGAAGTGATGGGGTAGGTTTCCTTTTTTTTAAATATTTATTATATATATATATATATATATATATATATATATATATAGTTTATATGTTTTATTAGTATTTTGATGTATATATTTTCCTTTTCAAATAGTATTATATGTACATATTATTTCTTTACTCTTTTCTTATCTTATTTATTTAATTATTTTTTTATTTTTTCTTCTCTTTATTTTTCTATTTCCTCTATCTTTGATTTATTTACTCATATTTATTTATTTATTTATTCATGCATATATTGTCTTTGCTCTTTTTTATCTCGTTTTATTCTTTTTCCCCTTTATTTTATTTTCTTTATATTATTTGTTTTCTTTACTCTAACACATTCACTTTTAAAGGGCACGATTTTCAAATCCATCAAGGGTAAGTAATTTGGATCGTTATTTTACCTTTCAATTTAAATTTATGACTTTCTTAATTAAAGACAACTGGAAATTATATAGTACCGAAAGAGCAGTTCAAGGGTGTTAGCCCTTCCTTGACTGCAACCGACTCCCGAATCCGACACATCACTGGTGAAATGCAGAACAGGTAAGAAATAAGGTATCCGGTCAACCAATTTACTTTTAAATAAATGATCGGTGGCGACTCCAATTCCATTTTCCTAAGTCGAAGCCCAATTATAGGCCCAACCGAAAGACGATTGCGACAGAACTCACATCCGATTTTTGTTTTAGAAGAAATAACCATGTCTCTCAGGTACAATCATCTATGAATAAGACAAACCACCAGACCCCAATAATATTAGGAATCGTGGATGGCCCCCCAAACATCGTTGTGTATAAGGGTAAAGGGGTTTGAAGTTCTTTTATTACTAACTGGGAAAAAAGAGCATTTATGCTTAGCAAGTTCACATATATCACAATGAAATTCCTCACTATTTAAGGATTTGAACAAAGAAGGAAACATAAGCTTATAAGCTTTAAAGTTGTAAAGGATGAATGACCAAGACGGAGATGGTGAAGTCATATATGATCTTTATTGGTTTTGGACTCTGATAAAAGCGAAAAAGATGGGGAATTCAGGGCACTGAAATATCCACCAGGGTCTTCAAAGTAATATAATCCATTTTCTTCTCCAACACGTCCAATCATTCTCTTCGTTCCTTGTTACTGAAAAATACATTGGATAGAATGAAAAAGAACATTGCAATTAGTATCTTTGATGATTTTTTGAATGGATAAAAGATTAGTAAATAGCTTTGATACATGAAGGACATTTTTTAAAGTAAAGGTTTAACTTATAACAATATCCCCTTGACCAACCATTGTTATCATAGTGTCATCTGCCACAGTTATTTTTTGGTTGCCAGAACAAGGTGTATAGGTTGTAAATCTGAGTGAAGAATTGGTCATTTGGTATGTAACCCCTGAATCAATTACCCAGGAGCTTTGGAAGGATAAATCCGAGGCCTTAGAGTGCTGAGAAGAGGAGGATATACCTGAGAAGACCAGACTACATGTACCTGCAGATGAGTTTTTGTCCAGGAAGCCCAACAGATTTCTCAGTTTCTCTATTTCCCCTTTGTTGAACTCTATATGTTGTTCTTGAGTCCTCAACCAATTGTTTAGTTGTATATGCTCTTCCTTGACCCCTTGATGATCCCTCCTTTTCTGGAAATTTTTTACCTACTGTTTGTGGCTTTCCATGAAGTTTCCAGCACTTCTCCTTTGTGCGGCAAGGTTTCTTGTAGTAGGTACACCATAAAGAGTCTCTGTTTACTGCTTTTGCTATCTCTTTTGTACCTTGCTGTTCCAGACCCGTTTTTCTCTCAGTTACATCTTTAGTAATTAGGGCTGAACTCTCCTCTTGATTGCTTTCAATCATAACTCCTCTCCTTTCTTCCTCAGCTCGAATGATTGCAAAGTCTCATTCAGTGATGACAAATCTTCTTTTCCAAGAATCTGTACCCTTACTGCATCAAACTCAACGTTTAGTCCAGCAAGAAAATCGTAAATTCTTTCTTTTTCAACAAACCTCTTTAGGGCAACTGCATCTTCGCTACACTTCATCTGAATACACTGATAGTGATCCATTTCTTGCCAAAGATTCTGCAGTAGGTTAGAATATTATGTGATTGACTCGCTTCCCTGTTTGAAGGATGAAATATTGGTCTTGATTTCATAAATCTGTGCAGCCTCTTTAATCTTTGAATACATTAGTTTTACAGCCTCCCATATCTCTTGGGTTGTATTAAGCGCTAATCTCTGGCACCATGGAATTCTATAACTAGGACATTACTAATGAATCTTGTTCATCCCAAGATTCGAACCTAGGATCTCCTTCCTTAGGTCCAGTCTCAAGTAGATGACTTAACTTGTCTCTACCTTTAGGAACGTGGGAACAAGCTGAGACCATTTGAGGTAATTTTTTCCATTCAACCTATAGGCGGCCTGTATATTCTGCAAGTCACCTACAGAATTGGAATAACTCCCTTCACTCACATTGCCTCCTTGGACAGTTTCAGTGCTGCTGGTATCGGCCACTTCGACCATCTTTTTTGTTTGGATAACAATACGCACTCAAGGAAGAATCAACTAAAGGGAAACGGTTGCAAAACGAGCTTAACAGGACCCAAAAATGAGATTAAAATGGCTTTGATACCATATTAAAATGGCTTTGATACCATATTAAAAACAATAAAATTCTATGTAAAACTCATGTATTTTTGCTATAGGCAGTGTTACATATTTATACAAGTAGGAAACTCTTAAGTTAGGAAAGTAGCTAATTCTAAGGAATACACAATCCCTTAAAGTTAGGGATTACAACTACTAAGGAATATTTATAGAATCCTATCTTAATTACTCATAATATTCCTAATTTAGGAATCTATTTTCTGAAAATGGATTGCTAAAAGCTTCGGAAAAAAGAAAATGCATTTCATGGTTAACACGATCTGAGAACGAAAGGAATATAATCAACAAGGCAATGCCAAATCAGAATATCCTAATGGAATATAATGGAACAGATACTGCCCATCACAATTTTTTTTTAAACAATAAGAACCACCACCACAAGCATTTATATAAAAAGATACAAGATACGCAACTAGTCAAGCATTCATATGTGTACATGATAAGACAAATATATATACATAGCTACGTGTGATGATATGAATTAGTAAAGAGCAAACCTTCGGCGCTGAAGCTGCAGTTCAGTTTCTCCTGCACCACTTATGAAACCACGGCCACCACTTCCTCTCCTGCAACCAATACATAGGCAAATCAAAACCATTTCTAAGAATAGACAATTATCCATGACATGCAATTATAAGCATATTAAATGAATATATTGAGGGTAAAGAGACAGATAAAAAATTGTCTGTACTTTGAACCACAGTAACATTTCAACTTTTGAAAAAGAATATCAGAAAAATGAAAAAATTATTACCCATGACCCTACCCTGTAAAGATTTGCTTCCATGAAATTTATCCTCAATTCATAGTGTTTTCCCTATTTGGTTGGAAAACAAGTAGGATTTATGCAAGAGCAATACAGACAGAGACAAGAAAAACACTAGTTTAAAGCACCTCTTTGGCTTCATATAAGAATCTGAAGCAACTTGAATAATGGTCCAAATCATCTTGGATTTCTCTAATACATGTTAGACACAAAATTTCAAAGCTTTTATTCTGTTCTATGTGAAATTTAGGCCTCACCCTCGTGCACTAACAACTTCAACTTCTCCACTAACGCCAAAAGCATTGCGTCCATCCAGTCCACGTACACGGACAAGCCTACTCTTCTTGTACATAAGAGCTGCTAACTCGGCCTATACAATATCAGGTTCCCCACCCCCAAAAAAAAGTTAAATAGATAACCAAATAAGCTGCATAAGACAATTTTGGAGAAAACAGTGAAATTCAAAATTTCAAAATGCAATGCAATGCCAAGTAAAGTCCGGAACTTTACCTGTACCTTGGCCTCCTTCGTGTGCGCATGAGCATTGAATATTTCTATTATAAGGCCCACACGATCCAATACAGGTTTTCCCCAAACTCTCTGTTAATGAAGACAGCAATATTTAGCGAAACACATAGGAATACAGCTTGAATTTCTCTTTCCACTAAAAAGGGAGGAGCGCCATTAGGCAGCAAGTACTTGCCTCCAAATTACGTTGCTGCACTCCAGATAGGATGATATTGACAAAAACAGCATCAACTCCATCCTAGTAAAATCATATGGTCATAGATAAGGCTTCCGCATTTGCAATAAAAGCATAAGCTCGTTTTGAAGAAAGATTATAAAAAAGTTACTTGCCTTGGACTCCAAAGAATTCAAATGGCATTTGATGTTTCCTACAGTTCCAGGTCCAAAATACGTGTCTAGAAATAAACAAAAAAAAAAGAAAGAATTCAAGAACAAAGCATTGAAGAAATGCCTAAAAGCAAAAAAGAATGCAAGAGGTTTTGCATACCAGCACGGATTTTGGAAGATTTAAGAGAAGGGTTTTGGACAACAACATGAGGAGGCAACTCCTTATCGAAGAAATCAGAATCAAAGTAGCCATCACGCTGTTCCTCGAGGGAGTTAGCTAAACAAAGAGCCTCATTGAGCTTGGCCTGCAAGAAAGTAGGGGGACGGAGACGAGGCTGGACGACCAAGAGGCGAGGTGGGTCAGATGGGTCCCTGCTGAAAACTGAACCGGGGGTGCTTTGATTTTCTTCGGTTCCCTTGTTTTGCTGGTTCAAAGTTGAGTACGGTGATGAAAGAATGGAAAATGGAGGATGAGAAAACTCGCGGGAAAGGGAGTGAGATCGGGACATGAGGGACAAAGATAGAATTCTTAACATCTCTCTGAAAACGTTGGCTAATTAAGAATTCTTCCTAGTTTCTTATAAATTGAAGGAACGTACTAGTTTGAGTGATCTAACGGTGGGGTGAGAACGGAGACGAAGGCCGAACCTGTTTTAGTCTTTCAGCTGAAAACCCTCGGAGCCCATCTGCTACTGTCTTCCAGCTAAAAGCCCTGAGAGCCCATCCGCTACTTCAAAATTATGTTACTTATCAAACACTAATTCATTTTTGGGTAAACTACAAAAATGGTCATTAAACTTTTAGATTGATTGATTTTAGTCACCTAACTTTTAAAAATTAGAATACAGTCACTAAACTTTGAGTTCGTTTTCAGTAAAGTCTTTGATGTTATCTCCCGTTAATTTTATCTAACGTTACACATTTCCTCCCGTTACTTCTTCTTCTTCTAACTTCTTCTTTACAAGAAGAAAAAGACTATGAACAACCATGGTTAAAGTCACTCGAATATATAAATGAATCTAATATTTGTTTTAGTTACCAATGTTTAAACAAGATAAATAATTGTGTATTGTCTGAAAAGCTTGTTGTAGTCATACATAACATCAAGGTTGTTAATTGTTCTGAGTTAGGAAATACAGGTTATGAAAACTATCTTTATATTTGTAGTAATATAAAGATCGAAGAACATATGCTTTTTGAATTTCAGCATGTAATCGCTACTTAACGTTTTTAATCATTTCCACTTGAGGAAATAAAGGGGATGGTCTGCATCCAAATGGCTTCCCCACAAATTTCCTTTAATAAAGGATAAGTCGAAGCCATATTGCCCAAACTCCCTTTTTTCTTTCTTGTTAGAGTACCCATATTTGATGCATTATCTCGTGAAAGGTATGGTGATATGATCCTTTATGGCCTCGTCAAATACATCTAAAAAAACTAAACATATCTTCGTAGGATACATATTCTTATCCAATATCCACTCCAAGTCCAAGCAACATAGGGTGGAAAAACTTAAAAATAATTTTGGGGACTAAATATTTACCATCATTGATCCTATAGTAAGATAATTGTTTTTTTCATTGTTCTTGATAGTTATTGAGTTTTTGAACACAATGATGACTTCTGATGTTTATAAGTCTAGGCATTGCAGGTTTTGATAGATGAGAATTAATTCAATGACGTCGCATAGAGGGGGTTTTTTTTCCTTCTAGAAATAGAGAGTGAAAAAGATGGGCAATGTAAGATAAAGCTGAGAAGGAGGAGGAGGAGAATAATAAGAAGAATCAAAAGGAGGAGGAGGGTTAACGAAAGGTAACGTGCCACGCCAGATAAAACTAACGAGAGGTAATATCAGAGACCTTATTGAAAACGAGCTCAAAGTTTAGTGATTGTATTGCAACTTTTAGAAGTTGGGTGAGCAAAATGCAAATGCTTTAAAAGTTCTATGACCATTTATGTAGTTTACGCTTAATTTTTAATGATTGCGGTGAACAAGTATTTAGGGTTAACTATACATTTAGTACTTAAATTATCAATTTTGATCCGTTTTAGTACCTAAATTTTTAATTTTTTTCAAAATCATACCTAACTTTTAGTTTTATTTTCATTTTAGTACATGTCATTAAAAACTTAACATGTTTTGTAACACCCTTGTCCAATTAAACCCAAATATCCATGGATTACAATATTACATGAGACTGCCAAAAATATGAATCACAAAGTTTCTTTTAAAACTGCTTGTAAACATCTAAAATTTAGACATTCATAATGTAATATAAAATCATAGTAATAAATTGGGTTTAAAAATAATTGGGAGCTCCCAATATATATCTACAAAAATAATACAAAATTCTGAGTTCTAAAAACATTTACGACTGAAAATGAAATATGGGTCCAAAACAGTACTTGCCCTATAAAGATGACTCAAGACGTATTTTGAAAGGTCTCTTGAAATATGATCTATTGCGCTGGAATGTCTGATGACGATAGCTCCCCACAATCTGCCCTTAAAAACCTACGCACGGAAACACATTCCGAACGCTGAGCTTACGAGCTCAATGCTTAACAAAAAACTGTATTATACTATATAATTCACTAAATGAAATGGCAAGTGGCACAAGTCTGAGTATACAACTACTGGGCTGTTTATTTGTGGCTGGCATCATGGTACGGTTGAGGGATTCTGCATTTTAGAGCTTACGCACCCCTCTAGCACTACCGAAGCACCATCATGTATTCCTGGGTGAGATCCAAAATTCTACATTGGAAACGTGCACCCACCGACTTACTTCGTCGAGTCTTGGGGTATCTGGCACCCAGTCGACTACTAAAGTGTCGTGGCACTGACTTGGATCCACTGACTAACGTAGGAACTTGGGTGTCCTGATTGTTTCCCGAGCATCAAATAAGACTAGTTTTATGTAAACCTAGCTATATTATGTTTCTACCGTTCTGATATTAATTATTGTTCTCGCTTGAAGTCTTATTTGAGGATATACTTAAATGTTGGGTACCTCGAGTCTAATTCCTTTAAAAAACTGGCCTTTTTGTCCAAAACAGACCGAAAGTATCGAATGCTAGCCCAAGAGTATCAATACTCATACAAAAATTTCGATACATTCTACAAGTATCAATACTTTCTAGAGTATCAATACTTTCGAGTCTAATTCTTATAAAACATTAGAGTGCCTAGTTTAGATACTTTCTAGGAGTTTTGAAACTATGACTCAAAGTATTGATACTCTTAAAAGAGTATCGATACTCTTTCCTAAAAACTCATGAGTTTGCCTGAGAAGAAGAACAAGTTTCGATACTATCCCTATAGTATCGAAACTCAACCTGCAAAGAGCATAAAATAGGTGCAAAAATTCATATTCTTCTATCTCAAAGACCTTAGTGAGGTCCCCAAACATTATTAATGTTTTATATATATATATAAAGGAGTATAAATAGGACTTTAAACATATTTATAACTATAAAACATGAAATCTACCATGAGAGTGCTTCAACTTCATGCAACATACTACATTTCATCTAAATAACTTACACATAGTATAGTTGAGTCAAAAGTGATTTACCTTTGATGCTAAGCTGCTGGAAACGTCAAAAACTCAGCCCAAAGTAAGTTTTTCCTTCTCCTGGCTTTGGAGCCCTCTCCAACCTCTTACACTAAACAAAAAAACCAATTGCAAGGATTACTAATTATTGTTAGGGGTTAAAGAGGGTTTTAAAACACTTCATAAGGCTATAAATATCTGAAAAATGGATTGGAACCATCTAATTTCTTAAACCTTCTAAAACTCATTTCTTAGAACTATGGTGAATGAGTGGTTTGAGATCTTAAAATGATGATCGGGGAGTGATGAATTCATTTTTTACATTGATATTGCTAGAAAATATCTGAAGGGAACTAAAGCTCTCACCTTTACTTAAAGATTTGAGGAAGAAGATGAAGAGGAGATAGAGAGTTTATGAGAGAATACAAAGATGAAGAAAGAGGGAGACAAGAAATCAGACATGAGATCACTGTTCATAAATGGTTTTCAGCTTTTGAAATCCTCAATGATGCAATTGCTCTTTTGGTCCTCCTAATTTTAGTTGAAAAAACACTCTTTTAATATATATTGGGCTTACCTCAAGCCCAAATTGTAACACCCCCAACCCGTATCCGACCCGGATACGAATCTAAGGTGTCACTTTGACTAGTCAAAGCACATACTTTTATAAAATAAACCATAGAAAATTTAAAACTTCTATTCTATAAAGAAATTCTTTTACATAAACATGTTAAAACCTTAACAGACTCCATCAGAGCGTACATATTTAATGACTTAGTTACATGCCAACATACTAAATTATATGACAAGACATACTTTACAAAATATTTCTGATCTGAACTTTACTCGGAGATATGCTGCTTTACGGATCCAAAGCTTGATCTTCTGACTTATCCACACCTACCTGTAAGACACTTACACGCTAAGTCATAGACTTAGTGACATATATAAATGCACAATGCAAACTAACAAATGCATATATATATCATATAATACACATCATAATTACATACCTATTGGACCAATTATTAACATATTTATCATTACTTATTTCCTTGTCATTAATTATATTCTATCATCTGAGCATATATTTGGCATAATCGTATAATATAACTCCAAAACACAATAATACATGAATAAATACTAATGTCATATCATACATAATAACATATCATCTCTTATCACAAAACACATATGCACTCATTATCATTATCTTCTTTTCTATTATCATATGATTCTGAGCTTATCATTTATAACTGTCATATAGCACAAATATCATTTAACCAAGAACATATATATTATCATAACACATATTTATTATCTTTAAAGACCATGCACTCTTTTGAGAACTTAAGGTATGTGAGTACATAGAGGTTGTGCACAATGCTGTCACCATAGCTCTTATAAATCCCACTAGGGGCGCGTAGAAATTTGTCCCGTAGGACCACTATGTCCTGAAGGACCACTGATAATCCCTCGACTCTTGGCATACCAACTATACCTATACCTCTCATAACACATGACATGGGCATTACCTTTTATATATTTTCATATATTCACATAGGCACATAGTTCACTTTCACATAGCATATTTCCATGTAACTCACATTCACTTATCACATAGCTTTTTACCTTTACTTGTATTCTTTTTCACATAGCTCATAGTCAAGATTCTTATCTCATAACACATGTTCGCATATACAAATTCTCATACAATCCCTTCATTCAGTTATAACATTTAACCTAGCTTATTACACTAACATGTATTCACATCACTTATTTAGCATACATAGCATATCATGTAACATTCTAGTATAACACATATAAGTCATATCGCTTTCACGTATATTTCATCTCATGGAATCACATAACCTATTATCACACATACATACATTTACATAGTTCACATGTAAAGATGCATTTAATCAATTAAACATATGCATTTACTCATATACAATACATTTAGCACCATATCACTACATGTTTATGCTTCAGTACCCCTAATCACATAATAGCGGAATTAGACTCGTCGTAAGTCTTAATTCCCTATACATGACATACATTTAATATCATGTACTCACCTAATCTCAATTAACACTCTTAAGCTCTTGTTTTCCTTGTGCATCTTACTCTGTCGACCTATCTGAACTTTGCTTCCAATCGATGTCTACACAATCATATATTTATACTATCAGTATCCAATTAATATATTATAATCTATCACTTCTTAGACTGAAAGAAAGATTTATTCCATTTCCCATTGAAGTGCATTGGTACATTCTACAGTGTATCGATGCATCCCTTAACATGTGCATCGATGCACTACCCATGCATCGGTACACAAATCACCTTCGATGTTTTCATTTTAAGGGGGTGTATCGATGCACTCCTTATGCATCGATGCACTAATTACATTCGATGTTTATTTATTTGAGAGTGCATCGATACACATTGAAGATGCATCGATGCACACAACCCAGAAATTCCATTTTGAGCATGAAAATATCTTACTTTGTCCTCAAATTCTACTTATTAACCCCTCCTTATACCTTAAAACTTATCTATACATATGTAAACCTTCTTATAACACTATAATACTTCACCATAATTTTTTAATCAAAGAATTTCATCAAATTTTCCATGTGTTCTTAATTCAATTCTATCACCTCTAACTTCTTAATTAACCCTTTGACAAGTCAAATTCATCCTTAGAACTTCAAAAACCTTTCTATAACAAAAGTTCATTTCTAAACTCTTAATAGAAATTCCTTTATATTTCTCTCTTCTTGGTGTTTTAAGCTTATATAAGCTTTACTTAAGCTTATATAACACCCAAATAATCAAAACCTATTTAATATTCAAGAAATCAACAACTAAAATCAAACTTACCCTTAACAATGGAAGCCAACATGAAGAAGGAAGAAGAAGAAATAAGCTTTCCAGGAAACTCTCCCCATCCCCACGTGTTATCTTCCTAAATAAGGGAGATAAAAATATCCTCCAAGCTAAATTACCATAATACCCTTATAATCCTTTCATAATTACCCTGTTATCCAACACTGAAATATTCTTATTAAATCCTTAAACTTTTCAATTTTCCTAAATTGATCCCCAAATTTTAAAAAATCTCATTTTAGTCACTGACCCGGTTTCAGGATGTTATACAAATCCTCATTAATTTGGGTAAAGGCTTCCTACAAGCTAAGGAATTAAATCAAAGCCCATATTGGATTAGCCCAATACTTCTAACTCGGGATTCGGGGCGCTACATGTTTAGTACCTAACTATCAGTTTTAGCCCGTTTTAGTAACTAAACTTTTAATTTTTTCAAAACTTAATGTTAAATTTTGAATTGAGTTACTAAAATGAAACAAAAAAACTAAAGTTTTCAATGATGGGTACTAAAATAAAATAAAAACTAAACTTTAGGTACGCTTTTAAAAAATATTAAAAGTTTAGGTACTAAAACATATCAAAACTGATAATTTAGGTATTAAATGCATAATTTATCCAAATATTTAAAATAAATAACATTAAAAACATTATATACATTTATTAACAAAAAAATGTTTAAAAACCTAAACTAGAAAAATTATATAATTTAGATTTTTTTATATTAACAATAATACTCCCCTTGTCCAACTTAGATTCTTCCTTGTTGACTTCTTTATCAAATTTTTTCAACTTGGACTCATTATTATTTAAAATTTATTATTGATAAAAATATGAAAAATATATTTTAAAAACATTCAATCGAGTAGTTTTTAAATATATTTTTTATAAAATTTAATTTTTTTTAAAATATTTAAAATAATCATAGTCAAAGTTTAAAAATTTTTACTTTTAAAAGTCAGCAAGAGACAAATTTATAGGGACGGAGGTAGTAATATTAACAAATCTAATTGATGAGTTCAAATTTAATTATCACAATTATAATTTTTTACTTTTGAGAGAGAAATTAATGACAGATTTTCATTCATTTTTTAATTAGTAAATCTTGTTGAACTGTGTAAATTACACCTTGTTAACTTTGAAGATAATGTAGTTATTACTATAGGAAGTTGTAATTGTTTTTTTATTGCAATTATTGTGTACTATCCAAACAAACCTCAAAAAGAATGAAGTACAATATATTGATTTTGACAATCAATTCTAATCCATTCTGAATCGTTCCACAAAGATTTGTAGCAACTTCAATCACCCCACAGCTTCAAATGTTTAGCATGTATCCCTCAGATCAAGCACCAATTACATAATTTATTAGACACAAATCCACATGAATATCGCACAAGCATATAATTATCCAATTGTAACTGGGTTTATGTACAAAACAAAGTTTCCAGAGCCTTAAATTGGGCTGGCAATATGATACACAAGGTTATAAGCACAAGAATCTAGCTAACATTTATCATCTCAAAGGTCTATAGTTCACATGATCTCTTCTATATCTTCTATATCGAGCCAATCACTCGATTCCTTGGTTTCAGGGTTACTAGCATTTACCTGCTCAGAACCAGGATGCTTATCACCAACACACCTAACATCTTTAACAGAGTCCGTAGAGCTCCTGCCCAACTGCACCCAATCTCTTGATTCTTTTGTTGAAGAATCAGAACCAGATGTTACTTGCTTGTAACTTATTGGCGCATCCTCCTCCTCCTCCTCAAGATCACTGAATGAAACATCCTCGTCATTTCCAAGAGGGATTGTGGTAGCACTCCTGTTACCTACCTCTGAAATTTCCTCTTTTAACCAGTCATCGGCATCATCTTCAAATTTCTCAATAGAAACTCCAGACGAACTGGATTTTGAATGTTGATGTTTAATCTCTTTCATTGGCTCTTCCTCAATGACAGACTTGTCAACAACCTGCATCTCGGCACTCTGAACTGGATGCTTCTCTGTTTCAATTTCAACAGCTATAGCAATAGCATGGTCTTCATTTCCAGATGCCTTGAATAGCACTGCCTCAGATTGAGTTGAAGAAGGAACATAGAGAGACTCTTCACACGGCAAATCAACCATCATTTGTGAAGTAACACTTTCAGAATGATCTTCCACAGCCTTCACCTTTTCTCGGTACTGTAACCCTTGCATTAACATTTCTCTTGCTGCAATTACCTGATGTAGGCCATTTAACAGTTAAAATTTGAAAAACGGAATAAGGAACAGGGGTGAAGGAAACTGAATCACAAGGGAAATCGCGTGTATAAGAGATGAAAATGTAACTAGAAGGAGACAGACGAGGAAGAGGACATGCAAAGCAATACATTTAGACAAAGATGGTCACCGCTAGGAAATGTCAGTGCAGCTAGCATAGAAGAATTGCCAAACAAATTAAATATAATAGCACATTTTTCTCATGAGGGAGAATGGGTGAAAAATTATATTCAAGTTTGAAAAAGACATGCTTAAAACAAATCAATTTTCTAATTTCCTATTTCACTAAAGAATTTTTTGCATCTTTTGTAACTATATGTGTTATTATCATTCCCAGAAGTTGGTAAATGAAATTCCTGAAGTGACTCCTTTACAACAATGAAAACAAGAGGATCCATGAGCTTACCTGTGGAGTAGATAAAAGCTATGCATCATGTTTACTGAGTCGAGGATGTAGAAGTATAAAATAAATCTTCCAAAAGCAACCCTCACTCATATATCCCTGGCAAAGGTCAATCCTAAGGGCAGCCAATCTTGGTGCAAAACGTTCAATGGCTAAAGCATGTTCTTCTTGTGCATCAGACATGTCAAAATCTGGATTTTGTTTTATAAAATAAAAACACAAGGATGATTGTAATCAGCCAGATTCATACCCATAGCATTCTAAGTATAACAAAGACAAATAGATTTACATTAAAATATGCCATCAAGTGCAGCTTGAAGTCAAAATATTCAGACAATTTCTCAAGTGTTTGCAACATGTTTATTTAGTGCCATGAAAGTCTGTTACATGGAAGAAAAGAAATGTGATTTAACCAAGAATGAGCTTACTATATGGGGGTTTTAAGCTAAATCTCATAGAGATGACAAACATTAGCTGATTGAGAAACTACAAAGCATAGAGCAAGTGGATAATCCTTCAGTATAAATCAGAAAGGATCAGAAGAATTACAACATTACGCGCAGCAATAGTCAGTAATAAAAGTCAATCGAGTAAAATCCCAATTCCCAGGAAGAAGTTTTCAAACTAGAAAGAAAATTTGAGTAAAGTATAAAGTAAATTACCATCAAAACCATCATCATCAGGCACGGGAAAATCGAGCCACGTTTCTTGATGCATCGCGATATCCCTAGCGAAGGCCACAACTTCTTCGGTCAAACCGACGACATTTGCGTTCTCGTATCTTTCAAGACTCTCTTCCTCGGATCCGAACTGAAGAAAATTCGAAGCGATCTTAGTGAACTCCGAGACGGCAATATTTTTAGACAGCTTCGAAAATTCGGTCTTGAATCTCCCGCCAATCTCCGATAAATCGCTGCGAATTCCCGCCATCAATTCCTCATCGGACGGTGGCTGGGGGAGATTTCCTCCTCAGTCTGATTGAGCGGTTGGTTCGATGAAGCCGGAGGCGGCGGGGCCAAGAAAGTGGCAACGCCCCAGAATTGGCGGGTTACGGTTTTGGTGAGCTCGGAGATGTCTTCTTTAACGCCACGTGGAGTGTTGGGATCAGGCGAAGATTGATCGGGATTAGGGTCGGGTGCGGTTCTCGGACTCGATGCAACATTTGTATAGTCATCATCATCTTCGTCAAGTTTCAGCGAGTTAGCAATGGATCTAGCTAACCACGACATTGTTTTTTTCCTCCCTTCACCTTTTCTTCTGCTCAAAGTTTGAGTTCAACCTGCAGAGTTGGAAGTGTGTTTAGAAAGGATAAATATACTAGTGGCAAACAAAACTCACTCTCCCTGAAATGGCACTCAAAGCCCAATCTCAGTTTTGTATTTTCGGTCCAAAAGAAAAATTAAAGGGTATATTTTATCAGTAACCACCTAACTATTGTTCTTTTTCATTTTAATCATCATTTATTAATTTTTGACAATTAAGATTTAAATACATTCAATCAAGCCACTTACCGTTAATATTTAAAACATTTTAACAGAAGAGATGATGTGGCAATCAATAGAAATAATCTTATTATACATTTAGTCCTTATTACATACACATTCTATAAAATTGGTCATAATTTTAAATAAATTCAATATATTTAATCATCTGATCATGTGATGACATGTGTCAAATGTGATATATTTAATCATCCAATCGATTAAAATATACGGTGCATTTCAAGCAATGCTTCAGCCACTAGAGCAAATCTCATATTGTTACTTGTTTTCAAAATGTTTTATATATTATTCTTTTTATTATGACAAAAAAATGAAACTAAAAAGCTATTGGTTGCATTTGAACATGAAATTTTAATTTAGAGTGGGTTAAGCTGCAACCTAGGTTAATCAAACATTTGAAAAACACTAATACTATTAAAATATAAGTTTAAATCATAAATTATATTTATATTTCGTTAATATCTATTAAAATATAAGTTTAATATCGTTAAATCACAAACAATTACATTTATATATAGTTAATATCTATTAAAAATATGAGTTTGAAATTTTTATTTTTAAAATTAAATTATTTTCCTTTTATTTTTTATAAATATTTTTAAATTATTATATATGAATTATATTTTTTTTAAAATGAAATTATATTAAAATTTTATTTAACAGATCCGAAGTTACAAACACAATTTTAATCACAAGATAAATTTATAATTCAAATCATAAATTTATGTATTCAAAAGTATTTTAAAAATATAATCAAGACTAAGTTATTACATCTTGGAAAATCCTAATAACTTAGTTTTCTCTCATTCGTATGTCGTTTATCTCTCTTCTTTTTCATCTTTGTTGATCGTCGGCGACATCAACTTTAATGTTGGTTACTGACCACTGGTATTCTTTATTTTTTTCTTTTTTATATCATATCTTTATTTTCTTTTATTTTTTGATTTTCAATAAGTATGCATGTTTTGTACGTTTTCATATACTTTTATGACACGTTTTCTTAAGCTTTTTTGGTACTTTTTCGATTCTTTGACCATTTTTATTTATCTTTTTTCCCCTAAGGGTTGATTTGACATCGCCACGACTGATCAAGATGACGCTTATCTGATATCTTGTGATATTCCCTGCTTTAGACCCTCGAATTGGATTTGGATACTCGATTTGAGTTTGTGGATAACTTTTCACGTCACTCAAGTATGATTTGTAGTTTGTCGATGATCTTCCAATAACTTGATCCCCTTTTGTAGTTCGTTTGTCGATGCGATCAGATTTATTTGTATTTATCTTTGTTTGATTTTCTTGGTTAAATTTAATCTTTCTTTGTATGGTACTTATGTGGTCTTAAGTTACTAGCTTTATTTCAATGATTATAGGAAATTTTCCTAATTTTGTGCTCAATTTACGATTGTGATTGTAAATATTTATTGTAATTTGAGATATTTCCTATTTTGAATAAATTTAGTTGCTTCTAACAATAAAAAGTATTTTAAAAATTATTTATCATTTATTTAAATATATATTCATTTAAATAGTAATTATGAAAATATAAAAATAATTTATATATTTAAGTTGTGTTTGTAATTTTGGATTCATTAAATAATTTTTTTAATATAATTTTATTTTTTTTAAATATAATTCATATATAATAATTGAAAATAATTATAAAAATAAAATAAATAAATTCAAAAAAATAAAATTTTAAACTTGTATTTTAATAGATATTAACGATATATAAATAATAGTGTAAGTGTTTTTTAAATGTATGATTTACTTTGGTAGTTAAGGTTAGGGATGGCAACTCAACCCGAATCCGACGGGTTCCGACCCGACTCGACCCGATCGGGTCGAATTTTTTAAAAAAAAATTCGGGCTCGGGTCAGGTCGGGTTTTTTTAAATGTACTGTTCGGGTCGGGTCGGGTTTAGGGTGAAAAAAATCCGACCCGACCCGACCCGAAAAATATATATAATTTTATCCTATATATTTAGGGATAATTATAATAATGTCCCTCCATATATAATTTTTTTCAATTAAGTCACTGTTTTCATTGAATAAAATTTTTTTATTATTATTTCGGGTCGGGTCGGGTCGGGTTTCTAAGTCATATATTCGGGTCGGGTCGGGTCGGGTGAAACCTTAATTTCGTCGGGTCGGGTCGGGTCACGGGTGAAAAACTTTTTCTTCTCGGGTCGGGTCAGGTGGCCCAAAAACCCGACCCGACCCGACCCATTGCCATCCCTAGTTAAGGTGCACCAACTCCATGTTAAAATGTCATGTTCGAACTAATCAATAGCTTTTTATTTTCATTTTTCTGCCATAATGTAAAACATAATATGTAAAACATTTTGAAAACAAGTAATAAATCTGGGGTTTGCTATAGTGGTTGAGGTGCTGCTTGAAACTCACTTGATCCTTGGTTTGTTTCTTCTCAGCGCCCAGTTACATTTTGTTTCATTTCCCCTTTAAAAAGGTGGCAACTTGATTGGTGGAAATATCATTCAATTAAAGTATTAAAAATAATTTTAAAAAAGCCACTCATTTATGTCACAACACGTGTAATGAAACATGTCACATTTGACTTGTGTCGTCACATGATTTGAGGGTTAAATATATTGAATTAATTTAAAATTATAATCAATAGCTTTTTATTTTCATTTTTCTGCCATAATGTAAAACATAATATGTAAAACATTTTGAAAACAAGTAATAAATCTGGGGTTTGCTATAGTGGTTGAGGTGCTGCTTGAAACTCACTTGATCCTTGGTTTGTTTCTTCTCAGCGCCCAGTTACATTTTGTTTCATTTCCCCTTTAAAAAGGTGGCAACTTGATTGGTGGAAATATCATTCAATTAAAGTATTAAAAATAATTTTAAAAAAGCCACTCATTTATGTCACAACACGTGTAATGAAACATGTCACATTTGACTTGTGTCGTCACATGATTTGAGGGTTAAATATATTGAATTAATTTAAAATTATAATCAATTTGATAGAATGAATAAGTAATAAGGACTAAATATATAATTAGATAAATTTTATTAACTGTCACAACACTTCCATTAAATTCTAACGGCAAATGACTTGATTAAATGAATTTAAATAATTACATAATCTAATTGACAAAAATTCAGAAGTAGTGATTAAAATAAAAAGAGACAATAATTAGATGGTCACCGATATAGTTTACCCAAAATTAAATTATATAAAGTCCCAAGGCCAGTGCCTATTGATTTCCATTCTCTTTCTTTTCAGATTTTTGGCAAGCAAACAAAAAACTTTAGCTGCTTAAGCTCGAACGAATTAAAAAGTTTAAAACTTGTTATACATTGCATCCTATATTATCCAGTTAATTATACCTCTCGACATGAGAGAATTAATAAACTCAAGTGATCTATTAATTAAGTCTAATTATAATCATGTCTATTTGTCTTAACACACTACAAATAATTATCATCGGCCTTATCTTGACGCAAACACTAAGGGTGTGCATATAAATCACCATACAAAGTTATAAAAAGATAATATCTCTCTCCCTGATTCTCCTCCGATCATCTTCTATGACTCATTCCTATTCCACCAATCATCGTTTGTGACTCCTTGCCCAAACTAGAAGGAGGAACCGTAAAAAATCATCGAATCTTATTTTTCCATCAACAATTGGTGTGATGAATGTGTATCATCATCGACAAAAAAGAAACATTTGAGATAACCCCCAACAACAAAGATAAAGAATACTACCTCTGATCTTCTCTCCAAACCCCCCCTGATGTGCATGGTTTTTTCGAATAGCAACAACGAGTCATGTATAAACTAACGTACTATCAGGCTTATCACAACTTACAAAGTGAATTACGGCAGTTTCCTCAATTACAGTAACAGTAGCAAAAGCAACAAAGACAATAGTTAATCTAAAAACCTCTTCAAGAGTCATTGATCTTCAAATGTCAAAAAAATAAATAACGATGGGAAGAATAAGAAAGAGCCTTACATGTTGAAGAGAGCATGCCTCCACTCATTTAAGTAATTCAGATGATGAAGTTTACATCTTAGAACTTGATCAAAAGAGGGACAACATTAAATATGTGTTTCAACATGTTGACCAAAAAAAAAAAGAATGGATAAAACAAATAAAAATCATGCAAAGATAGATAAATGATATTCAAACTTCAAATGTTTTAGAAAAAGATTAGACTACGAAGGAGAAAAATCCTCGCATGTCCCACACGCCAGCAACTTCTTACACACTGCACTTTAAATTGCCTGAGGAGATCTATGATGGATTAGTGATCCTCATTAGCACATGTCCTATTACAAGAACTATATAGATATCACGGGGGCCTCCGATGAGTAGAAATGTAAAAGTCTTCTCGACCAGTTTACGAATGGAAGACAAGAATTAGTACGACTTACAACTCAAGACAGTTATGAGGGGATTTAAACAACCATCACATATCGGGCAATTTTTGGCTAATAAAGACATCCTTCGCTCATAGACTATCATGGTTCGTGTGGGCTAGAGACCCAATGAGCTTTAAAGAGACTACTCAATGGCCAAAGGCCCAAACTCTACAAAATATCCTTAACCCAAAAGAAGAATTCTGACAACTTGGGCGTCTCCGTTTTAAATTCTTAGCCTTACCTTCGGAAAAAACAGTCAGTCTCACGCAAAACCCTAAACCCTTTCCTTCCTCACTTCTTGCAATGGCGGAGCTGAAACTCTCCGAGAGCCGGGACCTGACCCGAATCGAACGAATTGGGGCCCACTCTCACATACGGGGCCTCGGCCTCGACTCCTCTCTGGAGCCCCGTGGCGTCTCGGAAGGGATGGTGGGCCAGGAACAAGCTCGTAAAGCAGCCGGTGTCATCCTCCAAATGATCAAAGACGGTAGAATCGCTGGACGAGCTATCTTGTTAGCGGGCCAACCTGGAACCGGCAAAACGGCCATCGCCATGGGCATCGCAAAATCCCTTGGCCACGAAACCCCTTTCTCTATGCTTTCTGGCAGTGAAATCTTCTCACTGGAAATGTCGAAAACAGAAGCTCTAATGCAAGCGTTTCGAAAGTCCATCGGCGTAAGAATCAAGGAAGAAACCGAAGTGATAGAAGGCGAAGTCGTTGAAATCCAAATAGATCGTCCGGCAGTTTCTGGGGCGGCTTCAAAAACCGGGAAATTGACTCTAAAAACAACGGATATGGAGACCGTTTATGATTTGGGGGCGAAGATGATCGAGGCATTAGGGAAAGAGAAAGTGCAGAGTGGGGATGTGATAGCTATCGATAAAGCTTCAGGGAAAATAACGAAGCTTGGAAGGTCATTTTCGAGGTCGAGGGATTACGACGCAATGGGGCCGCAAACAAAGTTCGTTCAATGTCCAGATGGAGAGTTGCAGAAGAGGAAAGAAGTCGTCCATTGTGTTAACCTTCATGAGATCGATGTCATTAACAGCAGGTAAGTTCCAGCTTGCCTTCAACAAGAAAATCCGCTCTTCTCCTGATTTGCCGCTTTGTTGCTTCGTTTTTATTGTTTTTATCAATTGTTACAACGTGATTTGTTTCGTTAATGAGAAAGCTGTAAGTATATAACATTTTGGTAGAATTGGCCTGTTAGGTAAATTTGGTTTACATATTTATTCCTAAATAGTGATGATTCTACTTCAGAATTTGGATTCTGCAAGTTAAGAGCTCTGTGTATTGATGAAGAAGGTTAAACTGAATCAGCTCATAAGTTGATGATTCTTCTTTACGGTTGCGGGTAGCTTCTCCCTGTATTTATGAACTCAATATATGTAGCATTCTTTATACCATCCCTACATATGTTTTGTCATGTTAAAGCAAATGTGAATATACTATTATTTTGTGATTATTAGGGAAGAATTAGTGTATGGCATTTGTTTGGTATGAACATCATAACTTGTTCAAATGTATCTCGCTAACATGAAATTGATCCCTAGAAAACATCGTGCTAAACACAATGTATGTATATCTGGTGCAATTCTGCCTTTTAGAATAATAGACTTTAAGATGTTTTATGTCGTTTTGCAATAGATATTCATCTATTCGTAGTTATCATTCTCATGTTTCATTATGTTCTCAAGTTCAGAACACAGGGTTTTCTGGCTCTCTTCACTGGGGATACTGGTGAAATCCGAGCTGAGGTGAGAGAACAAATTGACACAAAGGTGGCAGAGTGGAGAGAGGAAGGAAAGGCAGAAATTGTGCCTGGTGTTCTCTTTATTGACGAGGTGCACATGCTTGATATTGAGTGCTTTTCTTTCCTGAACCGTGCACTTGAGAATGAGATGGCCCCGATATTAGTAGTCGCTACAAACAGAGGAATAACTTCAATCCGTGGCACAAACTACAAATCCCCACATGGAATTCCAATCGATCTTCTTGATCGACTACTAATCATCACTACACAACCTTATTCTGAGGATGAAATTCGCAAGATTCTAGACATCAGGTGCCAGGAGGAAGATGTAGAGATGTCAGAAGATGCAAAACAACTGTTGACCAAAATCGGGCAGGAGACATCCTTGAGATATGCTATCAATCTGATCACAGCCTCCGCGTTGAGTTGCCAGAAGCGGAAAGGAATGGCCGTGGAAGTGCAGGACATCACTCGTGTTTACAGTCTGTTTCTGGATGTAAGGAGATCAACACAGTACCTGATGGAGTACCAAAAAGAATACATGTTCAATGAAGCATCAATGGTTGATTCTGGGGATGCTAATGTCGATGCCATGCACGACTGACTGTTTATTCAGGTATGGTTGAAGAATTTTCAATATTATGCCTTGAGATATGGCATCCGATGGCGTTACTGCAATGTGTACTGGATCAAACTTAATAGCATTATTCCGTCAGTTCAACTGCGTAACTATGAATTTGAATTGTAGTTTGCATGCAATACCGACTCCCAATCCCGTGATAGTTTCTGTTAATGAAATTGTACTCTTTATCCAAGTTCTGGGTTTTCTTAGAGGTGTCAAATCCTCGTCACATTCACAAGTCTGAACTACTAAACAGTTCCAAATTATTAAGTTACAAATGTTTTATCCTAATTAAGGATCAATTGAAGGTCATGTTTTTGTGACCAATATATCGTCACATATATCTTAAAACAAAATCTCAGTGTTCTACTTTGTATTCTAGAGAGTAGTAAGCTGATGTAACAAATTTCCATGCCATGTGAAATATTATTTATTATAATAAGGGTAGCTGTACATTTTAGTAAAATTGAATTTTGATACATTTTTTTCGTGAGCTTTAAGTTTGTAGACACCCATCAAGAGATGCATCTCTTATTTACTCAAATATGATCTTATAAAAAGAAATTTTAATTTAACTTCAAAGGAAATCCATTCATAAAAGATAGATATTGTAAAGATTATACCTTATCTTTAAAAGATAAATATTGCTCTGATTTAATAGATTAAACAAAATTCTGAAGCTAAGGGAGTGAAAAATAAATTTAATTTAAAAAATAAATTAGTACAAATTGATTGTGTTCACTTTTTTTTCCTCATTTCTCATGGTTTAGTTGAAAATATTTAAAAAAGTCAATTCACCAATCGGTACCATATAAACAAGTATAAATATTTGTACCCCAAAACCCATATTTTAATCATGAAATTGCATTTCAAGGACCTCAAACTCCGGAGATTTTATCCAAAAATCACCCCTAAAATTAAAATACTATCGATCGGTCACCATTTCTCTAAATTTTACCGACCTAACATTTTTTTTTGTTGTTGACAAAATTGTACAAAGGCGTATTTTAAGAAACAAGCCTTTCAAAGACGAGGAATAAGCTTTTCAAGGATTTTTAATGATGTGGGGCTACACCTGAAAAGCTCTTTTCAGGGGACGTGCTTTCCACTAAAAATAATTTGAGCAAATCGTCGTCAGCTGCAGCGCTGTCAATTAACCGGATAAATGAATCCTTGCTTCTACAACATGACGGGATCCAAAGCGCCATTTTGCATTGCAAGAGATTTTTCAATTCATCAAGAGGTGTTGATTACTCAACTATATTCTTAATTTGAAACTTTGGGTTTGATTCAATATTCAATTCTTAGCTCATTTAATTTTCTGGGTTTGCCTGCAGAATCTTCATGATTGTCGAGATGCACAAGTGATTCTTCTTTACAAGAGGAATTAAGCAACGCTTCTTCAACAGGTATACACATGGTTTCCCACTGCAAAAACCTTTTTTTTAAAAAAAAAATAACCAAGTTTTAACCGGTAATCAATCATCTTTTTTTTTTCTCTCAGATTCTTCCATGTTTTCATGAGCTACAAGCATTTCCGCCAGAACATCCAGAGAAGAACATAGATTGTGATCTTCAATATCATAACGATGTAAAAATATGAGAAAGTGTAGTGTTTTTTTTTGTTGAAGAAATTTAAAATTTGATCTTAAATTTCTGCAGTGGGGATTTTGCTTCTTCAATCCTTTCAAATGGCTCCAACAGTAATAGACTATTCCCAGATTTGCACCATTGAATACGTCAATGAAATTCAAATCTTAATTCAATTGGATCTCACAACTGAATGCAATTACTTTCAGTACTAGGTAATTAATGCAATTCATTCAATGTATGTTGTTCGATGGTTTATGGGTGAAGGAATTTATTTTCAGTGGAAAGCGCGTTCCCTACAAAGAGCATTTTAGATGTAGCATCACATCATCAAAACTCTTGGAAAGCTCGTTCTCTGAAACGTCTTTGAAAGGCTTATTTCCTAAAAAAAAAGTCTTTGTACAATTCTATAAGAAAATGTGTTAGATTAGTAAAATTTGAGAAAACGATGACCAAATGGTATTATTTTAATTTTAGGATGTTTTTTTGGGATAAAATCGCCACAAGCTCCACATAATAGTACCCTAGATAATATGAAAACATCTTACAACCATCAACACATCACCATGCATGCCTCTCTCATAGAATTCATATTACAACATATGAAATGGTCACCCAAATATAAAGAATTTAAGAAAACAATAAGGAATGGTGCAGAACCTCCAATTCAACACACAAAACACCTTCCGACCTCCATTCTTCAGTCACCCTTGCCATTGCATTTGCTCCTTAAGGGTTCTCTCCCGCTTCCTTGATGAGACAAAAGTAGGGAAAGTGACTATTTTTAACACTTAGATACTTAAATTTTTGCAACAAAAACAATAACAGGCAATTTTATAGGCTACCCCCCACCCCAAAAGGGAAAGTTTTACTTGGTATTGCAATAAATCAAATTCTATAGGCTTTTCTCTTCCATGTGTAATTCGACATCAATTATCGATGTTCAAGATGTATATTAAAGCAGAGAACTTGGATCCTCTAAAACACTGAGGAACCTCGCCTCTGCCACATAAGTATATGTATTTGCATGTTCATAACATTAATTGATGGTTCTTAGACTTTCCAGATAGACAGATACATAAAAAATATACACTGTAACACAAGTTCCAACAGCGTAATTGAACCTGCATCTGTCAAATTAGACAAGAACATTCAAACAGGAGAATGCTCCCTCCACTAATCAATTATTCCCTAGTTTCACGTCTTTAACATCCATGTATATCCCGCCATTTGAGGTAAACCAGTCCTGCACGATAATGAGTGTATGCCCCGGCGAGAACCAAGATGTGAAAAAGCTGGTGGCTGTGCCCAGCAATGTCGAGCTTTCCAGGCATCCACCGCTCAGGTATCCTTGCCGCATAGATCAAAGCTCCAATACCATAAAATATCCCCATCAGAACCTCATACCCAGTTGTGTGAAGTGCCTCAGGCTGATTCCAGAACAAGATAAGCTTGTGAAGAATGGGTGCTATTCCTGACATACCCATTCCAAAGAAGAGGGATGCACGGATGGTGCGAAACTCGGGATTCTGGAACACTGGCAATAAGGAAAAGAAGATCGTCGCGACTCCCAAGATGGTTATGAATCCCAGATAGAGGTTACAGAAGAAAGGATCACACATGAAGGAGTAATACACAGGCGGATAGAAGGAAGTAGATATGAGAGCCGCAATCCCAGCATAGTCTAACCTGAGCATGATATATGATAGACGCTCAGAGTGGCAAGAGAGAAGGTGGCACGTGCTGCTAGCTAGCAAGCAGAACATCGCACCACCTAAGAAAGCAAAAAAAGGCCATCGGGTAATCGGTCTCATCATCAGGGGTGCTATTATGTTCGCCACATCCTCCTTCACACCTTGCTACAATTAGAAACAAATATAAAATGTATTAGCTGCAGAAAATGTGACAAGATTCAAGAACCGCTATGCTCGTGTTTTTCTGACTCTTGCGTGTACTCCCAGTAAGATCATATTAACATGCAAATAATTGAGAAACTTTTTAATTATCACCAATGTGGCAGTTAATTCAACATTGCAAGGACACTAACTAAATATTCCAGATATTGTCTTTAAAACATTGAAAGTTTAGGTACAAAAAATCTGCAACACAAAAGCTACAACTCAAATATGTACCATATTAGTTGTTTATATATTAAAGAAAGCTTCCTGAGATAAACAACTCTTCAAGATTTCCATAGTTTTTGCTTACGAAGAAAACCCTTTACCGTATCAAGATATCCATAAAGTAGAATCCAGATATTCAATATCAACTTTATAACTTTGCACCTATGGCTACAATGAAATGCCCCCGACTGTATATAAAGATTCTAGAGTAAAACATTTCAGTGTAAAGTATACAAACAAAAAGACCTATTTGATGGCCACATGTCCTTGGGTTATTCACATTTATTGACCCCTAAGATCCTGCTGTAAAACACTATAATACTAGAACTTTACCAACGGGTGTCGGGGTTATAATTCCTTGAAGCAAAACTACACTGTCAACAATGGGTCAGAGGAAAAGATATCTTCATGAACTTTCTGGAAGTACTAAAACAACTCAGAAGCATTATTCACATACGCCAGCTATGTCCATCCAGAGACAGGTTCAAGGAAGGGCCCCAGTCCACAAGCGTGTAGAAAGAAAATATTAAAGGCCGCCACTTCCCCAGCAACCCTACTGTTCCTTTCTTACCTGGAGGCTTAAAACCTTACTGGCACTGGCAGTTTCTTGTTTTAAAAGTTGTGTGATATTGACTGACAAAGAATCCAATGTCGTTATTACATATTACGCTAAGCCTTCCTCCATTTTTGTAATTCACCACCAGAATTCCAATTAATGGGATATCAGATAAATTCTGGACAAATTCACTGAACAACTTATCAGCGAGATGGCACTACTTTTGTTGATTTGTTACCGCAAGACCTACTGACTTCTCAACAATAAAATCCTTGCAAGATCTGAAAACTAATTAATAATTAATTTATCAACAGTTAGTCGGACCACTCGGCTTTGGATTTAAAGCTTAAAAAAATTCAGATTCTTTGTCTCTAAGGATATAATATGTCTGTCGTGTCCTAACAATTAAAAGATACTCTGTAAGATTTACAACTAACTAATAAATTTAAGGATTCTTTAGTGAACTTCTCACAATTAGCTTCAAACTGTAAAATTTAGATTTATATAGGCCATCTCCTTAAAATTCCTCCTCTTACCTTTGCAGCGAAGTCCAGCAGTGTAGCCAATAGATGAAAGCATCCATTCATAAATCGGATGGAGATAATAAAGGTACCACATGAAAAACATTTTAAACATCACAAAGTTTAACATTTAAGAACACATCAGAATACTAAAATGTAGTTTCAGTCGAGCTATTCCAAAAAAAAAAAAGCTCAACTGAAACATCAACGATATAAGTTCTAAATTAGGAAAATTCTTAAGATTTATGAAATAGATTATGAAGGGTATGGAGTGTTACCAGAACACAAACATCGGTGTGATTTCCAGCAAAGAAACGCTCAGGTAAACAATTATATAGAAGTTCCCTGATATGCCAATGTGAAAGGGATGGTAACTCCTCCCGAAATTTGTGCAGAATGGGGATATTTGTTAAGGAAGGAAAGCATGTCATTAATTCTGAATGCAATTTGTGCAAATCAGTCTTTCTCAATACATCAGGAATATGCTGCAGTGAGTGAAGATCAACAACCTTTGGAACCTTCATTGCAGTGTATATCGTAATGGAAAGGAAAATGAAGAACCCGATCAAATGCCTGTAAAAGGTAACAGTCATGTTCAACATATCACAGAGAAAAAAGACATGATCATTGATCTGATAAAGCACCAGTTATCTTATAAAGACTAAGGAGCTGTTTGTTTGCCTCTTAATGGAACCATTCAACGCGTTTGTTTCGCACCTCTGAATGATTCAGTGTTGACTGATTCAGCAAAACAATGTTGAATGATTCAGCACAGAAGTACATTCTGAATGATTCAGAGCCATTATCAAACATCATGTCACATTCAGAGCTAATTCATACAGAGCCTCTGAATCATTCAACATTTGAATTATTCAACATTTGAATCATTCAGCGCTTAATTATTCTGAAGTAAACAAACAGCCCCTAAGTCAAGGACTACAACGCTGAGAAAACAAAGACTACAACATCAATTGGTCATACCATGAAAATACTTCACAAATTGAAACATGGTTCCATCAATTTCTGTAGTAAATTTCTATTTTTCCTCTTTCCAATTCTAAACAGAAAGGCTAACACACAATTAACTAATCCTAATAAAGTTAAGCATATCACTTCTTTCACTAACATAATGTAAATCCTCTTGAAACCAATAAACAAACACACACATAAGTACAACCAACAAAATATCCCCATATAAACCACAAAAGAAATAATTATTCAAATCTCTAAAGAACTTAGGATTTGCCCGAAGGGTGTTTAGTAAGGTATAAAATTGCAGAACTATTTTTCATTCAGTGCATGAAGAAATAAAATCACCCAATTAACTTCTAACTACTGCATTAAACATTTAAACATGAAAAAATTCAGCAACAAAAGAAAAATAGCCTTACAAGTTACCCTAAGGACTTATTAAAGGAACTTACGTCCAAACATTCAAGGTTTCATTGTGAATTGTGAAGATGCTAAGCAAAACTTGTTTCATTGGCCATTCTGATCTATAGTGTCCCACAATATATTCATTGTCCTTCAAATATCCAGGCAATGAGTGGTACTCAACCAGTTGATATTTAACCTTTTCCCACAACCTCTTCCCTTTCCCTTCCTTTGAACGGCTCGTTTTACACTGTTCCATTGTTTCGGATGCCATATTTGTATCTTCATAAACTTGTTCCACACTGCTCATCTCTATGGATTCAACATAAAACAATTCACCGACTAAAAAACAAACCCAAAATTCATTTAAAGGAGATAATGCA